GAAAAACTGGGAAGAGAAATGAGAGTGATGCAAGAAAATCATGAAAAACAAGTCAACAGCTTGCTAAAGGAGACCCAAAAAATACTGAAGAAAATAACACCTTAAAAAATAGCCTAACCCAAATGGCAAAAGAGGTCCAAAAAGCCAATGAGGAGAAAAATGCCCTAAAAAGAAAAATTGGCCAAATGGAAAAGGAAGTCCAAAAGCTTACTGAAGAAAATACTTCCTTAAAAATTAGAATAGAGCAATTGGAAGCTAGTGACTTTATGAGAAATCAAGACACTGTGAAACAAATCCAAAAGAATGAAAAATTAGAAAACAATGTGAAATATCTCATTGGAAAAACAACTGACCTGGAAAATAGATCCAGGAGAGAGAATTTAAAAATTATTGGACTATCTGAAAGCCATGATCAAAAAAAGAGCCTAGACATCATCTTTCAAGAAATTATCAAGGAAAACTGCCCTGATATAGTAGAACCAGAGGGCAAAATAGAAATTGAAAGAATCCACAGATCTCCTCCTGAAAGAGATCCCCAAAGGAAAACTCCTAGGAATATTGTAGCCAAATTCCAGAGTTCCCAGGTCAAGGAGAAAATATTACAAGCTGCCAGAAGGAAACAGTTCAAGTACTGTGGAAACACAATCAGGAAAACACAAGATTTAGCAGCTTCTACATTAAAGGACAGCAGGGCATGGAATATAATATTCTGGAGGGCAAAGGAGATAGGATTACAACCAAGAATCACCTACCCAGCAAAACTGAGTATAATCCTTCAGGGGAAAAAATGGTCATTCAGTGAAATAGAGGACTTTCAAGCATTCTTGATGAAAAGACCAGAGCTGAATAGAAAATTTGACTTTCAAATACAGGACTCAAGTGGAACATGAAGAGGTAAACAGGAAAGAGAAATCATAAGAGACTTATTAAGATTGAACTGTTTACATTCCTGCATGGAAAGATGATATTTATAACTCATGAGACCTTTGTCAGTATTAGGGTAGTTGGAGGAAAAAATTATATGTATGTATATATAGATAGATAGATAGAGGGCACAGGGTGAGTTGAAGATGAAGGGGTGATATCTGGAGAATAAAATTAAGGGTTAAGAGAGGATTATACTCGGAGAAGAAAGGAAGAAGTAGAATGGGGTAAATTATCTCACAAAAAAACAGAAAAGAAAAGTCTCTTACAGTGGAGGGGAAACTGGGGAAGGTGAGAGGGAATGAGTGAATCTTATTCTCATAGGATTTGGCTTAAGGAGGGAATAACATACACATTCAATTGGGTATGGAAATCTGTCTTACCCTACAGGAAAATAGGGGGAGAAGGGGACAAGAGAGCAGGGGGATGATAGAGAGGAGGGCAGATTGGGAAAGGGGTAATCAGAAGTAAATACTTCTGAGGAGGGACAGGGTCAAAAGAAAGAATAGAATAAATGGGAGGGCAGGATAGGATTAAGGGAAATAGAGTTAGTTTATCACAACATGTCTACTATGGACATGTTTTGCATAACTGCACATGTACAACCTATATTGAGTTGCTTGCCTTTTCAATGAAGGTGGGTGGGGAGGGAGGAAGAAGAAAATTTGAAACCTAAAGTTTTAAAAATATGTTTAAAAAAATGTTTTCACATGCTACTGGGAAATAAGAAACATAGGAAATGGGGTACAGAAGTCTGTCCTGCCCTACAGGAAAATAGAAGGGGAAGGGGATAAGAGAAGGGGAGAGAGACAGAAGAGGACAGAGTAGGGGAAGGGATATTCAGAATGCATGACATCTTGGGGGGGGGGAGGGGAGATGGGGTGAAAATTTGGAACTCAAAAACTTGTGGAAGTGAATGTTGAAAACTAAAAATAAAATTTATATTAAAAAAATATTTTATTTTTCCAAGTATATTTAAAAACAAATTTTGACTTTATTTTTTAGTTTTGAGTTCCAAATTCTTGCCCTTCTTCCCTTTGCTTCTTATTTTTTTGGGGGGAATTTTTTGCCTTTTTTTTTCTTTTTGGCAAGGCAATTGAGGTTAAATGACTTGCCCAGGGTCACACAGCTAGTAAGTGTCAAGTGTCTGGGACCGGATTTGAACTCCACCTAGTTGCCCTTCTTTGTTTCTTATTGAGAAGGCAAGTAATTTGATATAAGGTTATACATGTGCAGTCATGTAAAACATACTTCCATTTTAGTCAGGTTGTGGAAAAAGAAAAACAGGCCAGAAAGTGGGGGGAAAAAATTTAGAAGTTCTTGGATATGTATTCAGACTCCTAGAAATTAAACTTTTAAATGTACCTACCCTGTAAGATAGAAAAGCCTAATTATTGTCAATGACTATAGCTTCTGACATCAGCCCGATAATTCATGGGTTGAAATTGCTGAAGTATGTGGATGTGCAAAACTTCTCACCTCATCTTTTTTAGGAGAGCAATAAAGAACAGAGTGAAGTGTGAGCCAGAGCTAGATCAGCTTGGCAGTTACTTTAATGGATCGCCAGTACTACAGGCAACAATGGATTAATAAGCTTGGTCAAGGAAGAATACTTGGAAGAACCGCTGCCTCCTTGACTTAACTTTTTTGTTTTCAGGAAAGGCACTCTCTGCTGGAGTGGGATTTCCTGCATTCTTCAAGACTCGATGGTTTTTCTTTTTCTTTCTTTCTTTCTTTCCTTTTTTTTTCTTTTTGGTGAGGAAATCAGGGTCAAATGACTTGCCCAGGGTCACACAGCTAGGAAGTATGAAGTGGCTGAGGTAGATGTATGAAGCTTAGGTTCAACATGACAAATATTGTTCTAGGTATAAGGCATATGAATGAGACACTTCTATACTGTGGCACTGTCATCATCACTTAAAGCACTGGCATAAGCCATAGGCACAAGGAGGTGTGGGTGCAGCTCTTTAGAGTGCCTGAGGTTCCTATTAACCAGATTATTCCAGGCCTGAAAGAGGCACTTTGACTTGACTTGGTGATTTCCATCCCAAAGACTGACAGCCACAGTCATCCATGCAACAGTTCTATTCAAAAACAGACACACTGGAGCAGCTAGGTGGCGCAGGGGATAGAGCACCAGCCCTGAAGTCAGGAAGACCTGAGTTCAAATCTGGTCTCAGGCCAAACACTTGACACTTACTAGCTGTGTGACCCTGGGCAAGTTACTTAACCCCAATTGCCTAAAAACAAAAACAAAGCAGACACACTGCCTCAGACACCAGAACAAGGCAAAAATCCAAGCACTGAGATCAGGTTAACAAGATCTGGATGTATATTGTGATATATTGGTCATGTGGACTCTTGAAGGCTGGGACTCCAAAAATGAATCTGTACTTTCAGAGTTTTTTATTTAATTTTGTTTTTCATGATAAACTTGAAAAATGTCAATATACAAAGAAGAGAAAGAGGATTGTATGTGAATATGCTATAATGGAATAGCTTAACTGCTATTATATAGGTTTCTTTTAAAATTCTATGTAGCATGTATGACATTTATGAGTAATGTTTGTTCTAAAGCTTTTGAAAACTTAATTGACAAAATTTTGGATCAACTAAAAAAAAGCATGACTTGAAATCTCCGAGTGCCTTTGTTCTCAGTATTATTGCTCTTTACTGAATTTATTTCTTATTAGAATATGTAGTTTTAAGGGGAAAAAAGTCTATGTAATAGTAACCAAACTGTCTTACTTATTGGTGACTCCTGATTCTTCTTTTTCCTATTTTAAAAAATGCTTCACTGAGCCTCTTCATTTTTTTTTGTTTATTTTGCTCACTTCAGCTGAATCTCCTTCCATTTCCCCTTATCCCTTCAACATCCAGCCTGTCTTTTTTTTTTTCTCCGAGACAATCGGGGTTAAATGACTTGCCTAGGGTCACACAGCTAGTGAGTACCATGTGTCTGGTATTTGTCCAGATTTGAATTCAGGTCCTCCTGACTCCAAGGCCATAGCTCTATTCACTGTACCACCTAGCTGCCCCTTTTCTTCAGCCTGCCTTCTTGAAAGCCTTTCTGACTCTCTGGCTTTGTTGGTGAATTGAAAATTGAGAATTCTTGAATTTATAATTCTCTAATTTAATGGGTCCTGAGGAAGATTAGAGCAGTCTAGTTAATCATCCCTTTCCGGAAGGGGAGGCTTTTGAACTGGCTAGTTATTGGACTGGCTACTGATTTTTAATGTCATATTCTACAGACACAATACGATCCTGGGCCAGTGAAAGCCAGGAGAGTGTCTAAGAGTTCCAGGCTTGTAAGAGGCTCTTTGACCTGACTGGTGATTTCAAACCAGAACACCAGTAACAAACAAAGATCTCCTACTCTATCCTCCCTCACTCCAGGGACTTTTCACCAGGAGCCAGGAACTAAAGTGTGTGTATGCCAACTACTTCTCTGTGCCCTCCCACTTCCTGTCACCTGCCCTAATTAAATGTGACTACAATTTTCTTTAGTGACAGTTATTGGGTATGGGTACCACTAATAATGTATATTTGCACATTTATTATCACTGAGTATCTGACTGTTAAACCTGGGGGAAAACATTATATCATTGAAATAACTCATAAATTTGTCCACCATAAACAGTATTTGAATATAGTAAAAATATCTGTTCTTATTAGTTTAATATCTGATACATCCTCTATCTGAGGACAATATATTGAATGGATTTTTGGAGCAGGGAGACAGAATAAGAGCTTGTGGTACTTCCAGGAACAGCACATCTCCTTCTGGGGAAATAAGTTTCTATGTAAAAGAAATATTAGGTTTTCTTTTCTCTTATCTGATAATTAGGATATTATACATGGAGGATACCTAGAGTTGATTTAGCTAAGCAAAGCAGCCCTGCCCATAACTCATCATGATGATTACCCATCATGATCCTTCAGCCAAGTATTGTGGATGCCTGGAATTTGTCTTGGCTGTTTTTTCAGGAGACCAAGGAGTAATGTCAGTAGCCCCCCAGAACCTTTAGTCCTCCAAGCCAATCAAGATCTGAGGATGTTTTCAATATTTTTTTCAGGAAAATTGGCTTCATTTCCATGGTAGGAGGTGATCAAGAGTAAGTATATTATGTCTACTACATACTATACACACACACACACACACACACACACACACACACACACACACACACACACACACCCCATGAGTTGTAACTGAAGAAAGAAGGCCATTTTTCACGTATAACTCACTTTATAATCACATACCTTTGTGGATAACATATGATTGAAGTGAGGACTGAGCATAGATGGATAAATAAATTGGGCTGGCTGAAAGAGCAGAGGGAGACAGCCAACTTATTCCCAACCTCAGCTCCCTGCTTCTCCCAATTCCCTGACTGGTGGCTCCCTGGCTAATTCCCTAGTAGATCATGGACTCAAGCCGATGAATGAATAACAGAAAGTTTCATGATGTCTAGCTAAATGCATAAGGTTTAGTGTCTGGAGACCTAGGTCAGAGTCCCACAAATTTAGAAGCAATCCTAGGAGGATCTACAGTCTGATTAGAACATAAAATCTGCAGCTATATGATGTTGGGCAAGTAGCTTAACATTTCTAGGTCCCTGTGACCATATCTGCAACGCATGGACTTGATTGATTGTTGAGAACTCTTCTAACTCATACATTCTATGATTCTGAGTAAGTCTAGGTGGAACTTTAGGCAAGTCCCTCTCTGAAAGCCTGTTTCCTTAACAAATATATAAAATGGAACTGATAATGATGTTTATACTATTTCTATAGTCTGACTTTGCTTGGACCTTTGCTTATTCATGATCCCAGTCCATTACTTGAGTTTTAAACTCTTTGTTAAGGTAAAGGTCTGCTTCCAGTGTGGAAAATGTACTGTCCCAAGCTTCAGGGGTTTTGTGCAAGTGTTTTCAGAAATATTTCTAGGGACACATAAATTTTCAGTTCTTCCAAGGTGGTATGGTAAGGGGTGAGGTGTTTATTTCTTTCCTGACCCATGCTCTGGTCTATGAGTGACCATAAGTACTCTTTTCTGCCTTGGAACTGTGAGGAGGATTTGCTCTTTATCACCACTGGAAGCTCCACCACATTAGTGCTCCTTCTCGCCTCAGGACCAACACCCAGAGCTGTGACCCAGATCCAAGCAGAGGTAAAGCAAGAGAATCCTGCACCAGCACAGAGATCTCTGCAATCCCCCTCTAATAAGCCACTCATTTACCCCTCCTCTCTGGCCTGGAAGCCACCCCGGGGCTGCTTGCCAGGACTGGGACCACACTTTTCTCTCACCACAGACTCAGAGTTTTCCCACTGACCTTCTAAGTTGTCTTTGGCATTCATGAATTGAGAAGTGTGGAAACTGCCACAGCTGCTGGGGATTCAGTCCTCTGCAGCCTGCTCCAGGTTTGCTGAGGCCTGCCTTGCCTTCAAGCCCACCTCCAACTGTGCTCCTGTCCCTGCCCAGCAAGATATAAATTTCTTTTTTTTAGTTACTCTTTTTTTTTTTTGCTAGGTAATGGGGTTAAGTGACTTGCCCAGGGTCACAAAGCTAGTGTCAGGTGTTTAGTCTGAGGTCAACTTTGAACTCAGGTCCTCCTGACTTCAGGGCCGATGCTCAATCCAATGTGCCACCTAGCTGCCCCGAGATATACATTTCTGGTCCACCATCCAGGCTGTCTTGGGCTGTAAATTTGTTTCACTCTGTCTTTTTGTGAGTTCTGCTGCTTTAGAATTTGTTTAGAGCCATTTTTATAGGTATTTGGAGGGCTTTGGGGGAGAGCTCAGGCAAGGCACTGCTTTTACTCTGCCATCCTATTTATACTATTTCCCTAGGCTCTTTTTGAGGCTCAGATATATGTGAAAACACTTTACAATTCAACTTAATGAAGGCAATATGTCAAGAGACCTTCAAGAAGGGTCTTTGGTTTACAAGAGAAGGCCAAGTGACCATCCATTTATTAATTATTCACTAGACATAATAAATAAAATGATTAATTACCCAGAAATTATGTCTCTCAAACTTTTTTTATACATCACAACAAATAAAGATTTGTAAATTCTATGTCTAGGCCTCTTTCTTTCTTCCCTGGATGTGTCAGTATTGATCACAAAAATCCCTTCTTCAGAGGATGACTTTTCAACTGCCCTTTGAGAGTTCAATATAGGGAATTCCCAGGGAATTCATTCAGGGAAAACCCAATAGAGCATTACAACATTGGATAGCAGGAAGAATAATTCTGCATACCTGCCCAGCCTCTCCCCATGTTCCTATTCCAAGGACAAGGCAGGTTTTGTAGCAAAAATGTTCTCATTGTGCTTTTGATTGGGGTTTCTAGTTAAGTGGTTTCATCCAAAATTGCTATTCTGCATTGTTCTTCAAGGATGGCAGTGTTTGGAGATGCTGCTGTGACCAGCAAAACTCAAAAGGGAAAACATAGGAAGGAATTCTATCTTTTACTCTTAGACCAGGTGGAGGGTATGGTCAGTGTCCTCAGGAATCAAAAAACTAGGGCTCTGGGGCTCAGTTACTTCAATTGTCCTCCTACTCTTCTGAGCAGCTGGTATACTGGAAAATATTTCTACTGGGGAATATTCACCTTTCCTAAATATAATAACCTATCATCCCAGTAACTTACAAGGATCCAGCAATAATCAGATGAGACTAGTGTCTTCCTAATAATGTATGATCCCTGATACCATGTGACTTGGCACCATGAACCTTAGACCACGTTACTGTTGTTTCTGTTAGATCTCATGAGTCAGAAAACTTAGAAGAACAGAATTCTTTGCACTGTCAGAAATCTTATGTTTACTGAAAACACTGGGAGCAAGTAGCTAAAAATCACACAAAAAGGAATGGGCAAGAGGGAAGACCCCCTTGGAAGTGAATAGTTTGTGGTCTGATCCTGTGGTATATGACAACATTGTTTGTGTATGTGTTTGCTTACCTGTGCAAAAAAAAAAAGTTTCTGATAAAGAGTGAAGTGAGCAAAACCAGGAGGGCATTATACACAGCAACAGCAACATTGTTTGATGGTTAATTATGATAGACTTGGCTCTTCTCAGCAATACAATGGTCCAAGACACTCCCAGAAGACTCAATGGAAAATGCTAACCACATCCAGAGAAAGAACTCTGGAGTCTGAATGCAGATGGAAGCATACTATGTTCACTTTTTTAAGTTGGTTTTTCTTTCTTGAGGTTTTCCACTTTTGTTCTGATTGTTCCTTCACAACATGACTAATGTGGAAATATGTTTAATATTATTGTACATGAATAACCTATATCAGATTGTTTGCTCTCTTGGGGAGGAGGGAAGAGATGGAGGGAGAAAAATTTGGAACTTAAAATTTTACAAAAATGAATGTTGAAAACTATATTTACATATACTTGGGAAAAGATACTATTAAGAAAAAAAAAAGAATAGCTATTCTTGTAGTATAAAAAAAAATCAGTTTCATTTACTTTCCGGTTATTCTCAAACCATAAGTCAATAAACCAAAAAGTATCTCTTAAGCCACTATGTGTTGTACATGAGACAAAGTATGCAAAAGGTACTTATGTACAGAATATATACAAGATAACAAGATAATCTTAGCAGGGAGGGCTTCCATCTCTTAGTAGAGGGGCAGAACAGTATGATAGAGGTTTCCCACATGACCAATGAGTGGGATGAAGGAAGCAAGAAAGGGGTCTGCTTTTGTTTAAAGTAAGCTTATCAAGGGAAGGTTTGGAGGAAATGGGGCAAGTGGGTAAGGTAGAGCTAATGATTCCAGAAAGAAAGAAAAGAGAATCAATGAAACATTTTAACAAACAGTGCTACAAAAACAGAAGGCAGTTCAGCAGAAGCAGGGAGGAGCAAGATAGCTTTGTAAGGAGCATGTCAAAATTGTTACATAGTTAAAAGAATGAAATGTAGCACAATTTAGGGTATAGGGCAATCTGCTGTCATCTCTTGTCTGCGTGTGAAAGCATTCATATTCACTGATGTTTGTCAGATTTATGATAACACACAATACACATTTTTAAGGGGGAGGGAGGGGAGAGAGGTTGGGCCCTGAAAAGGCTTCCTGCAGAAGGTAATGCCAGAGCTGAGTCTTGAAACAAGGAGGGGATATTAAGAGTGGCAGAGAGGGAGCCCCTGCAAAGGTCCAGAGGGGAGATGAAGTGTCCTGCCTGAGCAACAGGAAGAACGAGAGTTTGGCAGAAGGGTAGAGTGCAGAAACGGGAGCAATAAAGCTTGACCAGAAAGATAGATTAGGGCCATTTGTGAAGGACTTTCAATGTGAAACAGAGGGGTTTCGGGGCAGCTAGGTGGTGCAGCGGATAGAGCACCGGCCCTGAATTCAGAAGGACCTGAGTCCAAATCCGGCCTCAGACACATAACACTTACTAGCTGTGTGACCCTGGGCAAGTCACTTAACCCCATTGCCTAGCCAAAAAAAAAAAAAAACCCAGAGGGGTTTCTCTTTTATCCCTGCGGCAGAAGAGAGCCGCTGGAGTTGACCGAGTAGGAGAGGAACCCGGTCAGGAAAATCGGCTTGCCAGGTGGGTGGAAGATAGGTGGAGAGGGGAGAGCACTGAGGTGGGGATTCCGACCAGGAGGGAAGAGGTGATGGCCAGGCCCGAAGTTCATTGCCTGGTTCTGAGGCTGAGGAATTTGGAAAAGGCTTACTGGACGAGGTGTGGCTTCATCTGGGACAGATTCGGAATTGTGGAAAGAGGGAGGAGAATCGAGGCAAACCGAAAACTCATTTTAATATCTCTATAAATTCTGTTGGTCTTCGTTTAAAGAGGGGGAGGGGGAGAAAAACAAAAACGGAACCCAGTCTCACGGCAGTAGGATGAGGAAATGCCAAGTTGTCGGTATAATCCCGGTCATTTCCTTGTAGGAGTCCCTGTGCATATACCCAGAGTGAGCCGGCTGTCTCCAGAAGGCTGGTGGGTGACATCACGAAGGGGGAGGTAGTATGCAGAAGAAGAGACTTATGGGCCAGTTTTCCCCCTTCCTTCTCCGTTTTGAATACGTAAACATCCAGAGTTTGAGAGTGACAGTTGTGTTGTTCTGGTTTGGAATTATAGCTACTTTTGCGACTTTTG